ATTTGTTCTTAACTGTCAGCTTGGGATCTTCTAATTCTGATCTCTTTCCTCTGCTACTCTTCATATTCTCTTACCCAAGAATCTTGTTGACTCTTCATGAAGTGTCTTAGTCCATGGGAGAAATCATGCATGGTGATGCACAGGATACTTTTCAAAGCAGTTGTCATAGAGACCCCCCCTACAATAAGATAAAAATTAGGCATAGCTCTTTCTCTACTAGGGTACCAGGTGCCCACAAAAATGGTAATTTTCATAAATTAATCAATAAATATAGCTAATTATTGGCAAATAGCCTAGAGCCATCCCAGTTTCTAGGGCTCTGATCTTCTCGTAACTTGTACATTAGGCAGGGTCAGACTTGGATCAGTACTTAACTGAGAATCCCCTGGGAAAAGCTTGGGAGCTCCAGGCTGCACTAGTGGCATTGTATCCCTAAAGATGGTGCCAAGACAGTCCCCTGAAAGGATATTTTATAAAAGTGACATAACCCTTATATTTGGCCCCCATTACAGTTAAGTAATCCCACACGGTTTCCTTTCTGCAGAGGGAACAAGCGGAGGTGTGAGTTGCAGTGCTCCTACCAAGTCCTCAAGGGACTCTGTGCTCAGCCTCCTGCAGACGTGGTTTCTCAAACCACAACACCTTGGGCACCAAGAAGTCCCTCAAACACCCCTTCTGTCTGTCAGAGTCCTAGATTTTGGCAACTTTGTTCCAGCTGGTGGCTTTTGTATGTCTAGTAAAATTCTGAGGCTGGGCATTAGTAGCTAAATTTTCTCACCTAAGGAGTCTGTGAAACTTGCAGATGCCAGTCTTGATCCTGCACAGAAGAGTCTGAAATTACTGAAGGAGAGGGATTCCATTGCCTGCTTAGTTCAGAGCTGCGGGCTCCACTTGTTGGTAGGGTTCAGAAAGACTCAGGGAGATGCAAAAAAAAATGGCAGAAATTTGTAATATCTGTTGGGAAGGAGGCTGCTGAAGGTGAGATGTAGTTAAAGATGATGGGGATACTTGAGGTATGTACCCATTACTTCAGCAATTAAAAGAAGTGAAAGCTGGAAATGGCCTTCTGTAATAGTAAGCCAAACCTTGGAAAAAAGTGACAAACTGACAAACTAGACACAGATCCCATAGAGACTTACAGAGTTTTTTAACTCCTCATTCTCTGTGTATTCCCATTGACCTCTAGAGCCTAGATTTCATTGCAAGTGGATGGACGGACCCATTATTTCTTAACTGACCTTTGAAAATAGGATTAATTCCTAAACCTCTGAAGTACTTTGGCAAACTTTGTCCTGAGTTGTTTCTGTAGAGACAAGAAGCCACATTGCATTTTAAGTTTCCTACTTTTTCTCCTCACACATGGTGTCTCCTGTTTAGGACTTGACAGGGAGGGTTTGAACATAACTGATCACTTTTTATTTATGGTTGTCCTTTTGTTTTGTTTTTCAAAGAGTGTACAGAGAATGCACAGCAAGATAAAGGACATAATAATTGTGAAAGAGAAACTTGATGCCAGTCCCTAGACTGGCCAGGCTGTGTAGGTGAGGCCCTCGTACCATCACAGTGATTACTTTGTTGAGATTGAAACTGTAGTTTGTGGAATCTAGCATTAGAAAAAAAAACAAGCTGGCTGTATTTTGATACCCTCAAAGGGAGGGAAGGGGGGGAGTGGTAGGAGATGGCAATATGCCCAAAAAAGCCATTTAGAAAACTGGCAAAGCTTTAATTTTTTTCCTATGAAAATCTCGCCAGTTGTTACGTTAGTCTTTGAACCACATTCTCACCGACGCTGTTGCTTCTCCTACTTTAGAGTAAGTTTATTCAGTTGGTTATGAATGACTTTCAGCTGCTCTGTAAATTGTTATTGTCCAGGCTCCACTGCAACCAGGGGTCACTTGCAGTTTCCATTATAAACCCAGGTTTCCAGGTGTTTATTATAACTTGGCAGTTTTCAAATCTGGGTTAAAAATTGGTACACTTTTTTTTTTTTTAAGGCCAGATGGGCTTTTTATCCTTTCCCTTCTTCTTTTCTCTACCTAAATTTTAACCTTTTAGCAGCTGAATAAAACCTCTATTGGGTGCAATGTTATAAAATTATTATTGGCAAAGAAATTAATTTCTCTAACACTATTAGTATTTTGAGGGTGATCTTTGTGACGTATTCTTTATGATCAGCACAATCTGAGGTGTTTTTAAATTCTGTTTGTCAGAGTGCTTTCAGTTTGTGCATTTCCTATGTGGCCATCATCCAACATGTAGCTCAATCCACTGCACAAAGTCCCAGTGATTTCAATGGGACTTTATGTGAGTTGTTCCCTTGATCCAAGCTTTAAAAAGGGTCATAATGTATTTGCCAAACATCCTATAAGAGGGTAGTGCTAAAGTTAATGCTTATTGCTTAAGAGCAAAGACAAAGGATTTCACTGTAAAAATGTGGACCTATCCACTCAGTTCTGATTACAAGAGCCAAGAATATTACTGAATTCAAAATGGAAAGGAAACCAAAAAAACAAAACTAATGGTTCTCACTTCTGTTGGAGTCTTCTTAATTGAGCTTTGGACACAGAACACCTGAATTTCCAGGAGGTGTTATCTTCTGTGTTAGGAAAATACTTGAAACAGCTAATGGAAGGTCAATGAAAAAATTACAAAACGTACATTCATCTTTCTTAGATAAATTTAGAATATTATTTAAATAAATGTCCTAAACTTCATGTTGACAGAAAAAACGTCGCTGAAATACCTTCATCACACCTTGGTTTCAATATGTGCTGGTTGAATGGACTATCTTTTCTTTCTTTTTTTTTTTTAATTTTAATTCTTCAACCTCTGAACAATCTTGCTCTACTTCTGACAGTGCTCTTCAGTGACGACCGTGCCACAGTCTCAAGTCTGTTACAAGATACATGACTCTATTTATCACCCAGTGTTCTGTATAATCTGTAACAAGCACAAGAG